ATCAATCAATAGAAGACCAAACTTGAAAAGCACATATAAAAATGCTTATAACTTGAAAAGTTCTCATAAAAATATTGTCCTGGTGTGGTACTGTAGGATAAGCACTGACACACAAGGTTGGTTTGAACCACAAGGTTGGGAGTTCAAACTCACTAGCTGTTCCTCGGAACAGTGTCACTATAAATCAGAACTGATTGGACATCACTTAATAACAACAACATTTTATAATTTTTAATGAGTTGAAAATATTCTTACTTGAGCAAAGAAGCCGTTATGTGATATTTCATTATGATATGATGATTTGAGTAGAGATGGATATCCTTTTAATATAGTATAGTTCCTAATTTTGTAATTAAACCATAGTGTATTATAGCATGTAACATCCTTCAGCAAATCTAAGGCCTTATATAATTTTAAGAAGTATTCAAGCAAATATCAATTAGTGTTTTGATGTTCAGACATATTGCTAATAGCACAGTGCTGTTAATTGGATAAACTGTGGCTATTGAGTGAAATTTTATGTTTCAACTAACATTTTGAATAGTTCAGTAAACCTCAAATAACTGGAGGTCCTAGGGAATGGAATGTTTTTACTTAGTTCAATTTTGTTAATATTAAGCAAGGTTTTTTCCCTTTCTTCTTCTTTCTTTTTGGAATTTAAAATAATCCCAAATATATTACTATACTTTATAAATTAAGTTCAGTTTTTCTTTGATTTAGAATTTCTCAATATATGTCAGCATAAAGTTGGAAAAACTATTTCTCTGAAACTTTAAAGTTTTTCTATCCATGTTCTGCATCCTCTCCCTCCCTGAGTGATCCAATGGGTTCTATTACTGTCTATCTAATGTTGATTCAGTCAGTATCTGTAGACCACCTCTCTCTTTCCTGTCAAAATGCCTGCTAGGGTATTTCACTTGGGAATTCTGAAGGCATTTCAATCTCAATATTGATTAACTAAATCCATTTCTTTCCCAAAATCTACTCTTCCTCCTGGATCTCTGTCTGATCAATGCACCACAAACTAAGATGCAAAGCTGGAAGTCTTTCTGGAATCTTCTTTTTCTCTCTCCTACCTGGTATGCTGGAGTCTTGATGTGTCACTGTAGGATAAACACTGGCCTGCTAACTACAAGGGCAGTAGTTCAAATCCATCAGCCTCTCCTTGGAAACATTATACAGGGTCTCAGTGAGTTAGAACCAACTCTACAGCACTTAACAACACCACCACCACCTGGCATGGTGCTATAGAGTAAGCACTGGACTGCTAACTGCAAAATTGGCAGTTCAAACTCACTAACTGCTCTTTGGAAACCCTATACAAGATCACCGTGTGTCAGAACCAATTCTACAACACTTAACAATGCAACAACAATATTTAGACTTTGGTACATTCTGGCTCCCTTCTTTTGCTTAGGTATTTCTTTTTCCTTTTAGTGTCTTCTTTGGTGTCATTGTCTCAACTTATATCTGCACTGAAGCACTTTAAACAAAAGCACATTAAAAAAAAAAAAAAATCAAAATTCTTTTTGTAACCTGGAGATCTCACTTATATTTCTGGAACATGTGATGAGTGACCCAGGGGAAAGCCATGGAGTTTATTTTTTCTTCTACACCTATCTTCCTGTACTTTGTTCTTTCTGCTACCAAACTTGTTCTCCCATTGTCATTGGTCGCCCCCCCACCCCCCTTTAGATTTCCCATTGTGATTTCAGGGACATACATCCATGGTAAACAAACTCATCCAAACCCTTAACCCTGCGTTTCCTATACTACACTCTAGAATAATTTGCGAAAAAGCGTTCCCAGGAAAACGTGTTCTATGGTTAAGAGTTGGGAAACCCTGTTCAGAGCTTTAACGTGCATTGTGAATCTCTGAGTTGGAGGTGAGAAGTGGAAATAGTTTGGATCATTTCTCACTTTAAAGCTCACGTGATATCAACATAACCACAGAACAGTGCCTCTACCAGCTAGTTTAAAAGGAAACTTGGCTCTTAAAGTACTGAAGTTCTTTGAATCCAAGTCACTTTTTCCTCCATCTCATATTTGATAAAATGGAGGGAAAATGAAAAAGAAGACCCCCATTGAAATAGACTGACACAGTGACAGCAATAATGGACTCAAACATAACAATTGTGAGGATGACACAGGACTGGGCAGTGTTTCATTCTGATTGCATAGAGTCACTATGAGTTAGAATCTAGCAACAACAGCACATGGCTCAGGGTGTGTAGATTGCCGGCTGCCTTGTCTTCCCAGCATCACTTTCAGCATGCTGCTTCTCCAGGCTCATGTAAACATACCTTCCCATCTCTTTGAAGCTTCTACATTTCAGCTCTACCAGATGTGGCAAAGTAGATTTTTTTCCTCATGTACTATTCTTGTCCTCTCATAGTGGCTGCCTTTCTTGAGATGGAAATCCAACACTGGGTTCTGGTTCATTAGGAACACCTACACTGGTTGGTTAGTGATTACTCTATAATGACTCAGCAACTTGGACCATGTAGCAGTTATTGTCTGTGTTTACCCTATTATACCATTTGCTCCCTGTCGTTTACAAGTCACCTTGTTAGTTTTCCATATTCCTTAAAGCTCTTTACCCCAGCATATTTCATGATAATCCTAAGTGAATTCAGTGTCTGTGAGGAAAACAAACAAACATCATAACCTCATTTAAAAAAAAAAAAGTCTTGAACGCTAGTGCCCTTCATCTCCAAACTCCTTTATGTACCCATTCTCTTGGCCACAGCTGAGTCTGTGTCAAGTTTTTAAATCTCTGATTCTTCCAATTATTTCATTTTTCTCTCTCCACTACTGTTGTACATAGCCTGCTTGATGCCTCCATATTTTCCCAGCTCCCTCAACCTTCTTTTGGCATCTTTTCCTTTACTCTCTCAGAGTTTTTCTCACTACCATATTCTGTTCCTTCTCATACTCATCTTTCCATGGAATCAACCCAGAAAAACTTTGAATACATGCTTAATGTGGTTCCAACACGTGGGGAACTGAGAACTGCTGAACTCAATGACCTCACATAGTGTTGTATTACAGGGTCCACGTGTTCAGTCGCTGTCAGGCCTTTACTTCTATTCATCCTTGAACACTGTCCTCTTATTTCTTTCACTAGAAATTCCAAGTCTACACTAGCTTTCTCAAATACTTTCCTTTTACCACTATGCTCTCATTCAATGCAGCAAATCTTGCCTATCCCAATCTCAAAAACTTTTGTGACCATCAGACTTTCTCTTCTTCAATTTTGGTTCTCCTTTTAACAATTTCACTCTAGCCTGTATTTATCCTCAAATGCCTTCCCACTATTTGCAAGGGGTGAGGTATCTACTGAATTCTTAAAAACTCATCCTCCTGTGCAATTGCTTCATTAGTCACATTCTCTTTTTGGTCTTTTCAACTTTGCTCTCTTGGCCAATCCCCTTTGCTCAGCTGTCACGTGGGGTCGTTATGAGTCCAAAAATAGACTTGACAACACCTAACAACAATAGCAATACAGATTGGTTACTGTTTGATTTTCTAACTGAGGTATGGGTTAGCAACAGCTCTTGGGTTGTGTGAGGGTTAGATAGAAATATGGGATGTCTAATATGGAGCTGTGAGTTGGTACCAACTCCATGGCACCTAACAACTACAAAAAATATGATGCTGTGGGTTAATGCACTGGGCTGCAAGGTCAGTTTGAACTTTAAGGTCAGTAGTTTAAGCTCACCAGCTGCTCCTCAGAAACCCTATACAGGGTCGTTCTGAGTCAGAACCAACTTAGTGGCACTTAAGAACAACAAGAATGTCATGTTTGACATAGTAGTCAGTCAACAAATACCAGTTGTCCTAATGATACTTATCGCTAATGAGGAGGATGCAGGAATTTACTTGGTCTAACTTTTCTCATTGAGAGGCTTCAACTATGTGATCTACAAGTCTCCTTCCAACTCTAATAATTCTTATTATAAATAATGTTTCATGTTTTGGAAAGATTTATGTTATAAGTATGTAGATATTCCTTGATATGTCTGTCACATTTGTAGACATTAGACATGAAAAAGTAGATAACTAATTAGATGATCAGAGGCATAGTCCTGGTGTGGTGAAGTAAGATGAACATTGGACTGCTAATTACAAGGTTGATGGTTCAAACCCACCAGTTGCTCCTTAGAAACCCTATACATGGTCATTATGAGTTGGAACTGACTCAACAACACTCAACAGCAACAACAACAACAACCTTACACCTTGAAGAAAAACAATTTCAGACTTTAGAACATAATTCAGTATGAGGAACCACTTAGCTCTGCTAACCACTATCACACTATACAAGAGCTAAGGAGGAAGAGTTGAAAGTTCTGAGGAGGCTGTTTAGGAATGTTTGCTGTTGTTATTGTTAGGGGCCAAGGATATTGTTATGGCTCTGACTCATAACGACCCTATGCATAACAGAAGGAAACACTGTAGAAGTGGGATAAAATCCAGCTCTTGAAATTAAACTCATGGGAAAATGAAACTTTTTGTTAAATGTTGTTGAGGTTGTGTGCTGTTGAGGTGATTCTGAGTCATTGAAACCCTATAGGATGGAACACAACTGCCCCTCAGGTTTCCTGGACTATAATCTTTATGAGACCAAATTTCCACATCTTTCTTCCACAGAACAGGTGGTGGGTTTGAATCCCTGAGTGCTTAACCATCACATCACCAGAGCTCCTTTTTGTCTAAATACAGGTCCTATTAAAATATAATTCAATAGTAAGGATGTACATTTGTGCCAAGTCTAGGAGTTTCTGGTATTCATGTTGATCACATTTTGCTTCTGTAGAAAACTGGATGGGGTGAGAAAGATGGAAACAAAACAGTTTTTGGAATGCCCCAAGGTTGTTTTCCATTCTAAATCCCAAATTTTGGTTTGTTTAAGGATATAAGCAAATTAGAATTCCCTTGAGTATTCATTCCACAGCTGATGCTAATGATTAGTTTTCACATTGCAGTTATCATTTAACATGGAAGAAGAGGAGTTCTTTGGAGAAAAAAAATTCCAGCATTATTGCGCAGAATTCATTAAACATTCACAGAAGATAGGTGATGGTTGGGAATGGAAAACTTCAAAGGTAAGAACAGACATTTTTCTTTCTTTATGTAAATGGAGGTTTTCATTGTTTGTTAATTTTTCACTATAAAACCTCAGTAAATGAAACTAATGTATGAAAGCTAGTTTGATATAGTAAAAGGCCAAAATTAAAGAATGTTTTAAATCAGATGTTCATTTTATTACTTAGGCTATGTATACTCATGATAATCAGACTAATGAAGTATTATCTAGAAAAGTCCTTAGGTGACCTGCTTTAACTTTAATAGATAAAAATGCTTCGCATATTAATCATCTAAATGTAAACAGATGCTTCTGTGTTGTTTTAAACCATTTGTTTACACTGTTAATTTTCTTAGGAAATTACTTTTGTCCAGAGAGTGAAAAGATAATCCTGAAGTCAAACCATAGTCAAACAGTAACAAATTCTGAAATATTGAGGATTATATTAATTGGGAATTTCTTGGTAATGTAAACACATTCCAAAACGTTTTCTTTTTTGGTTCTGTTCAGTGATAATAATGCAGAAAACCTATGTACTCTTATTTCCACACATACAATTAGTACTGTTCTCTGCTAAAAGCTTTTATAAAGTTCACTGAAATACCTTTTTTAGAACATACATTTTCTCTACTTCACATTTTATCTGATTCTTGAAAGAATGATGAATCCCAGTTCTCTGCTGATTGGTTCTGCTTCCTAAATACACTCTGAGAGATTTCAAGTTTTGACCTGTTTCCTATGATTCAGAAAGAGGCCAGGAAGATGCAGTTTTTGATCAAGTTTGGAGTATCACTCGGGAGAAAAGATATGACTGCCTCTTAGGTCATCTTTTGACTAAGGGTAGACAGAGTGGTTTGTAAGCTGGTTCAAAGGTTAGTTTCTTGAAGATTCCATCACTACTTTCACATAACCCCTAGGGAGACTCCTGGTCTAGGATAACATGATCTTACTAGCACATTTTACTTGGCCTTTTATAATTTTGTTTGATATTAAAATTTGGAGTTTTAATTAATCCTATTTATTATGTGATTATTGCTTATATTTAAAAGAATGTCTAATTTCTATATATTAGTTGTATGACCATGTAGTTACCTTACTGAATTTTCCTAATAGTTTTCAAAGGGTTCTCTTGGGTCATCCAGGTATAGTGATGTCATCTACAGATGAAGAGTTTCTATTTGTCCTTTAAAAATAATATTTCTATTGTTTTATATATTGACTAGAAAATATTAAAGCTCCCTGGGTAGTGCAAATGGTTGTTGGGAGTGCAGTGGCTCCATGAGATAAACATTGGACTGCGAACTACAAGGTCCGTGATTTGAACCTACCAGTCGCTACCAGGGGAGAAAGATGTGACTTTCTGCTCCCTTGAAGATTTAAAGCCTCAAAAACCTTATGCAAGGTTGCTGTGATTTGGCAGTTACTCTACGGAACTTAAGAACAACAACATTTACTAAGTAAAAGATTGGCAGTTTGAATCTACCCAGAGGAGCCTCAGGACATGGGCCTGGTGATAGGCCTTGAGAGTCCTGTTGAGCAGTTCTACTCAGAGTCCTGGCATGGCGCTGTAGGATAAGTACTGGGCCAAGAGGTCATTTGATCCGCAAGGTCCATGGTTCAAACCCATCATCTGCTCCTTGGAAACCTTACACAGGGTCACCATGAGTGGGAACCAACTTGATGGCACTTAACAACAGCAACAGCAACTCTAAACACATAGAGTCCCCATGAGTTGGAATTTTGTTAGATGTGTTAATGACACTGTGATAAGGAAATGCCCATATTGTTTGAAGGGTGCAAATTGGAAGAGGTACAACCAGAATGCTCCTCAGAAGCAAGGATGGCAAGTCTTCATCTCAATTGCTTTAGACATGTTTTCCTAAAGAACCAGTCCCTGGAAAAGGATATCATGCTAGGCAAAGTAGAGGGTCAGCAAAAAAGAGGAAGATCTTTAAAGAGATGATTGACACAGTGGTTGCTACAATGGGCTCAAACATAACAACAATTTTGAGGATGGCACAGGACCAGGAAGTTTTTCATTCTGTTGTGCCCAGGGTCACTATGAGTCACAATCAACTTGACAGCACCTAACAACAACAACTGCTTGTATGATATTCTTGATGTCATCCTACAACTCCTCTGGTCTTCGGTTATTAGCATTTAGGGCTTCAATATGTTCTCTAGAAGTCTCTAAATTCAGATGGGATATAATCAAGGTTGTGTCTTAGTTCTGGTGGACTTGTTTTTATTTTCTTCAGCTTCTATCTGAACTTTCATATAAGCAATTGATGATCTGTTCCTCAGTTGTCCCCTGACCTTGTTTTGGCTAATGATATTGAACTTCTCTACTGTGTCTTCCTATAGATGTAGTCAATTTGATTCCAATGTATTTGATTAATTGCAAAGATATATACAACATAAAATCAGGAGGGACCTGTTGCTAGAGAAGGATATGATGTTTGGTAAGGTGGAGGGTCAAAGAAAAAGAGGAAGACCCCCAATGAGCTGGATTGGCCAAGTGACAGCATCGATGGACTCAAGCGTGGCAACAGTAGTGAGGTTGGCCTAGGATTGGGCAGTGTTTTGTTGTGCTGTGCGTAAGGTCGCTATGGGTTGGACTTGATGGCACTTAGCAACATACAAATATATGTGTGTATATGGAGTCCTGGTGTGATGCTGCAGAATAATGCACTGGACTGCAAGGTCGGTTTGAACCACAAGGTGAGTTGTTCAAATCTACCACTAGTTCCTTGGAAACTATACAGGACCTCAATGAGTAGAAATCAAGTTGATGGCGCGTAACAACAACAACAACAACAACAATATATGTGTATGTATAGTTTTAGGGAGTGTTTTGGCTCTGTAGGATTAGCATTAGATTGTAAACCACAATTTCAGAGGTACAAGCTCAGCAGCCACTCCACGGGAGAAAGCTGAGGCTTTCTGTTCCCACAAAGATATAAAAAGCCTCAGAAATCTTATGCAGCAACTTGGAACTGACTCAACAACACTTCACAACAACAATATATTGTTTTATTATCTAGTGCCATTATAATAGAAATACCACAAGTGGCTGGTTTTGACAAACAGAAATTTATTTTCTCATTGTTTACAAAGCTGTAAGTGTAAATTCAGAGAGCTGGCTCTAACAAGGGCTCTCTCTTTGTCAGGTCTCAGGAAAGGTCCTTGACTCCATTCAGCATCTGTGGGCTCAGTATTCCTTGGAGATACTTACATGATAGGGCTGATCACATCATGGGAGTGATTATATCATTTTAGGTCCTCATCATTTTAACTGCTAACCCACTGAGAATCCTGGCCAACTCAAGTTGACACAAAACCTTAACTATACACACACACGTATACTAGAGTGAGTAAAAAATTATCCGCATTCAGACTGTAGAATTTATTTTAATCAACTATTAGAAAAGACAGATTTTTGACATAATTCCTTGTTTTTCAATGCACTTTGTCTATGTGCCAACAAGCTTTCATATTACCTTATCAAAAAATGTTTTAGGTTGATCTTTGAGCCATGAATACACTGTTGTTTTCACTTCTGTATCAGAGCTGAATCTTCGTCCTCAAAGGGCTGCTTTCAGGGGAACAAACAGATCAAGACTATACTTATTTCAGTGTCAACAGTTGGGCAGAGGTGTGTGCATGTGCATTATCATGCATGCTCACAATGCCCTTGGATAGCACTCCTCTGTGTTTAATCCAAAGTTTAGGCTTCAGCTCTTCAGTGAGCATCTCACTATAATGAACACTGTTGATTATTGACATTTTTCCTGCTCCTGTTCTAATACTGGCCCTTGACAATACCATAAAACTGATAGCATCAGTTTTCCAGCTGATGGTTGACTTCTTTTTAAAAAACTTTTATTTTGAATTGAGTGATGGTTTACATGGGAGAACATTGGTTTTACATTCATTCTTATCGTATTTTGTTCCATTGCAATGATTACAATCCCCTCAATGCATCATCATTCAACAGTATTTGTTCCATTCCCTCTGTTTTTTTTGTTTTTTTTTTTTAATGTACACAAAAGTACTCTTATATTTGTCCATATTGTTTCATTGATGACCTTTTTAATTCTTGGATTCACATTTAGGTATTTAATCCATGCTGAGTTGGTTTTTGTATATGGTGTGAGATAAATGTCTTGTTTCAGTCTTTTGCATATTGATTTCCAATTTTGTCAGCACCCTCTGTTAAAGAGACTATCTCCTCCCCATTCAATATACTTTGGCCTTTTGTTAAAGATCAATTGAGTGTATGTGGATGGGTTAATTTCTGGATTCTCAATTCTGTACCATTAATCTATGTATCTTTGATTGTACCAATAAAAGGCTGTTTTGACCACTGTAGTAAATTTTGAAATCAGAGAATGAGAGGCCTCCAACTTTGCTTGTAAAGTTTGTAATTGTATTTTCCATCTCTTTAAAGAATGTCATTGGAATCTGGATTGGGATTGTATTATATGTGTAGATTGCTTTGTGTAATATTAATATTTTACAATGTTAAGTCTTCCTATCCAGGAACATGGTATATTTTTCCATTTTTGTGTGTCTTATGGTTTCTTGTAGTAGTGTTTTGTAGTTTTCTTTGTATAAGTCCTTTGTTTCTCTAGTTACATTTATTCCTAAGTATTTTATCCTTTGGATGGCTATTGTAAATAGTATTGCATTCCTAATTTTCAGCATAGTCATTATTAGTATATAGAGGAATCCAACTGATTTTTATATGTTGCTCTTGTATCTTGCCACTTTGCTGAATTTTCATATGAGTTCTAGTACTTTTTTGCTGGGTCTTTGGGGTTGTCTATGTACAAAATCATATCATCTGCAAATGTTGTTGTTGTTAAGTGCCATTGAGTCGATTCCATCCCATAACGACCCTGTATAGGGTTTCTGAGGAGCAACAGGTGAGCTTGAGCCACCAACCTTGCAGTTCAAATGACTTTGCAGTCTGGCACATTAACCCACAGTGCCACACCAGGACTCCAAATAGAGAGA